TTATGGTCAGATTCCATTCAAAATTGATATCTGGGGGTTGTCGAGGACAGAGTTTATGATTTTTTATCAAAATTAGAAAATTCGAAATGGCGGATCCAATATGGCGGACGAGTTTTGTAATTATGATCCAATTATATTCAAAATTGGTGATCTGAGGGTTTTCGGGGTCGGAGATTATTATGCTTCGTTCGTCAAAATTTGAAAATTCAAAATGGTTAATCCAATATGGCAAACGAGTTTTGTAATTATGTTCAGATTCTTATCGAAATTGGTATCTGGAGGTTTCAGAGGTCGGAGATATGGATCATTTGTCAAAATGGAAAAATTCAAAATGGCGGATCCAATATGACGGACGAGTTTTTTAATAAAATTATGATCAGATTCTATGCAAAATTGGTATCTGGGGGTTTTTGGGGTAGGAGATGATGATTCATTCATTAAAATTTGGAAATCCAAGATGGCAGATTTAATATGGCGGACGAGTTTTGTAACTATGATCCGATTCCATTCCAAATTTGTATCTGGGGGATTTTGAGATCGGAGATCATGATTCATTAGGAAATTGAAGATGGAGTTTTGTAATTATGATCCAATTATATTCAAAATTGGTGATCTGAGGGTTTTCGGAGTCGGAGATTATTATGCTTCGTTCGTCAAAATTTGAAAATTCAAAAAGATCCAATATGGCAACTGAGTTTTGTAATTATGATCCGATTCTATTCAAAATTTGTATCTGGTTGTTTTTGGGGTCGGATAAAAATCAGAAAACAAAATATTGAAAGTATGTTGATGAATATTAAACTAAAAATATATTTTCTAGAGATAATTTTATATAGCAAAACAACGTTTGCTGGGTATCAGCTATTGTAATAAATATTAGTTTGAAAAACTAATGAAACACCTTTTTATAGATAGCCAAACTAAAAAGAAGTAAGTAGTAAATAAATGAAAAATTGAAGAGATATACAGTTCCGAACTAAAAAGAAGTAGAGAATAAGTAGAACAGTTTGAAAAATTGAAGAATCCCGTTTTCATTGACAGCCGAACTAAAAAGAAGTATAAATAAAATGATGAGAGTTCTTTGATAAATATTTATGTAATAACATTTTTTCTAGAAATAATGTTATGGCAAAACAACGTTTGTTGGGTCAGCTAGTCTAATATATAAATTCCCCTGTCCCGGTCACGGTGTTAGTGGTCGAACTCATCCGAAACGGCTCGACCGATTGGTATGGAATTTTTTTTTGCGTATTCGGTAGGCATGAGAATCGGTCGTGATCTATTTTTTAAATCGAAAATTCAAGATGGCGGATCCAATATGGTAGACGTTCATTGTTATCCGATTTCATTCAAAATTGGCATTTGGGGGTCGCAGATTATGATTTCCTCATCAAAATTAGGAAATTCAAAATGCCGGATCCAATATGGCGGACGAGTTTTTTTATTTATGGTCCGATTATATTTAAAATTGGTATCGGGAGATTTTCGGGGTCGAAGATTATGATTTATTCTTCAAAAATAGGGAATCCAGAATGGCAGATCCAATATGGCAGACGAGTTTTTCAACCGATTATATTCAAAATTGGTATCTGGGGGTTTTCGGGGTCGGAGACTATGGTTCTTTCGTCAAATTTTGAAAATTCAAGATAGCGGATCCAATATGGCGGGCGAGTTTTGTAATTACAGTCAGATTCCATCCAAAATTGGTATCTGGGGGCTTTCGAGGTCGGAGATCACGATTTCTTCATTATAATTAGGAAATTCAAGATGGCGGATCCAATATGACGGACGAGTCTTGTAATTAAGGTCAGATTCTATTCAAAATTGGTATCTGGGGGTTCTCGAGGTCAGAGATTATGATTTTTCATCAAAATCAGGAAATTTAAAATGGCGGATCCAATATGGCGGACGAGTTTTGTGATTATATTCGAAATCGGTATCTAAGGATTTTCGGGGTCGGAGATTATGGTTCGTTCGTCGAAATTTCAAAATTCAAAATGGCGTATCCAATATGGAGGACGAGGTATGTAATCATGGTCAGATTCTATTCAAAATTGGTATCTGGAGGTTTAAGAGGTCGGAGATATAAATCATTTTTTGTCAGAATGGGGAAATTCAGAATGGCGGATCCAATATGGCGGACAAGTTTTGTAATTATGATCGGATTCTATTCAAAATTGATGTCGGGTGGTTTTTTGGCTCGGAAATCATGATTCTTTTGTCAAAATTTGAAGATTCAAGATGGCGTATCCAATATGGCGGACGAGTTTTGTAACTATGATCCGATTCCATTCAAAATTTGTATCCGGGTGATTTTCGGGTCGGAGATAATGATTCTTTCATCTAAATTAGGAAATTAACGATGGAGGATCCAATATGTCGAACGAGTTTTGTAATTATGATCCGATTCTATTCAAAATCTGTATCTGAGGGTTTCCGGGGTCGGAGATTATGATTTTATCCTTTTAAATTGATAAATTCGAGATGACGGATCCCATATGGTAAAAGAGCTTTGTTATAAATATTAGTTTAAAAAACTATAATGAAACACGCTTATATAGATAGCCAAACTCGGGGCCAAACTGAATAGAAATAGAAAATTGATAATGTATTTAAAAAACGAGATAGATTGTCGAAATAAAAAGAAGTAGAAAATGAGAATAGTAGTTTGAAATACTAATGAAACACGATTTCATGGATATCCGAACTGAAAAGGAGTTCAAAACAAAATGATAAAAGTGTGTTTATGAATATTCAACTAAAAAATATTTTCTAGAATGAGATGTATACAGAGTGGGCCTTTGAAAACGAAACAGAGGCTCTGTAGGTCGCCAAAACCGGATTATCAAAAAAAACTGCAACAGGTCTACTACATTTTCGAGGGGGACATATTTCTAAAATATTTTCAGCCCTGCGGCGTTGCCGCTTCTAAAGAAAAGAAGCAACAACTTTGTTATTTCAAATGGAACACCTTGTATTTTATTACATTCTTAGATTCTCTCCGAAGAGCTGAATTCATCAATGCATCACACTTGGGGTCTAGCTGTAATGGTTTCAGGGATATAAAGTGTTCAAAATCGAGATTTTTCAACTTTAACATTTTTTGTGTCGAAACTATTCATTATTGGTCAAAACTGCTCTTATGTCCCTATCTCAACTTGTGATTTACTATCTACTGACATTTATTTGAAACAAATACAGGGTGGTTCAAGATTCAGAATTCTGATCACCCTGTATCTGTTCCAATTAAATGTTAGTAGATAGTGAATCACAAGTTGAGATAGGGACATGGGAGTCGTTTTGACCAATAATGATTAGTTTCGACACAAAAAAATGTTGAAGTTGAAAAATCTCGATTTTGAACACTTTATATCCCTGAAACCATTACAGCTAGACCCCAAGTGTGATGCATTGATGAAATCAGATTTTCGGGGAGAATCTAAAAATGCAATAAAATACAAGGTGTTCCATTTGAAATAACAAAGTTGTTGCTTCTTTTCGTTAGCAGCGGCAACGCCGCAGGTCTGAAAATGTTGTAGGACGATGTCTCCCTTGAAAATGTAGATGACGTGTTTCAGATTCTTTTCATAATCCGGTTTTGGCGACCTACAGAGCCTCTGTTTCGTTTTCAAAGGCCCACTCTGTATAGCAAAACAACGTGTGCCGGGTATCAGCATCAGCTATTGTAATAAATAGTAGTTTGAAAAACTAATGAAAGACGTTTTTATAGATAGCCAAACTAAAAAGAAGTGAGTTGTGAATAAATGAAAAGATGAAGAGATATAGGGTGCCGAACTAAAAAGGAGTAGGTAATAGGTAGAATACTTTGAAAAACTGAAGAATCCCGTTTTCATGGGTAGCCGAACTATATAAAATGAAGTATGAATAGAATAATGAAAGTTCTTTGATAAATATTTATGTAAAAACATTTTATCTAGAAATAATGTTATGGCAAAACAACGTTTGCCGGGTCGCGATTTTAGGTTTGTTAATCTGTGATTTTACTAAATATACTGCACGCTAGCACAAAACACGCCCACCATAATACGTCATATCTCCAAACATTAGCGATATACTCGGAGTCAGCACATCGCACTAAATATACTGTGCTCCAACGCAAGAATACACTTTTTATGATTTTGACACGAATTCGACTGAAGCTCTTTCTTTGTCAATCTCTTGTACGCAGTGAATTCATATACCCAAATGGTCTAATGGTTAGCGCTGTCGACTTTCAGTCTGAAGGTCCATGGTTCGAATCGCTGTGAACTTGAACTTTTTTTTGCAACTTTTTTTTTCACCAATGTTTTTTTTTCTTCATTCTGGCTTCTTCAGTGCGATGTGCTGACTCCGAGTATATCGGTAATGTTTGGAGATATGACGTATTATGGTGGGCGTGGTTTGTGCTAGCATGCAGTATATTTAGTAAAATCGCGTCCCGGTCACGGTGTTAGTGGTCGAACTCCTCCAAAACGGCTCGACCGATTCGTATGAAGCTTTTTGTGGGTATGAGAATCGGTCGTAATCTTTTTTTTTAATCGAAAATTCAAGATGGCGGATCCAATATGGTGGACAAGCATTGTTATCCGATTTTATCCAAAATTGGTATTTGGGGGTTTTCGGGGTCGGAGATTATGATTCTATCGACGAATTTTGGAAATTCAAGATGGCGGATCCAATATGGCGAACGAAAAAATGCATAAGTATAGAATTTTTTTACCGTTTGATGAAATATCCAGATACATAGAAGTTATGACCTTTTTCAGAAATCGGTAAAATGTAGATTTTCGACGATAAATCGGAAACGGCTTGAGATATTGAAATGAGGTTTTCACCAATCGACGTTTCACAAAAGCTAAGCTGTAGACTTGTAGGTCGGTTTTTCTAGCTATTGTGGAAATAGGAAAAACTGTCGGAATAAAGCAATTCAGGACACCTTTGTACATTGAGGGGTATCGATGTAACCGTTATATTCGATTAAAATGATTTTAATTCACAGAATGGAAAGAATCGAAGCCTTTCACAGCGGCCACTATCTAAATTTGGATGGTAATGATTACCTCTATAAAAAAAAAAGTTCAAGGAACGATGCGACCTATTATGAATGCTCGGTCGAGGGGTGTTCCGCTCGCATTACAGAGAGAGGATTCATCATAAACCTGAGCGTCGGCCATCACCATACTGCCAATGTAATTGACGTTGGATTGCTAAAATTTCGTCAGGAATTACGAAGGAGGGCGGCATCCGAGAATACTCCCTTACAGGAAATATTCCAAGAACAACAAAGAAGGTATCCGGATGTAGTGGAATTCGTTGGTTCCTACGAGAAAAATAGGAACCTCCTTTATCGAGCGCAGAAGAAGGGGACACCTCCGGTACCTTCAAATTTCACGGAATTGATGCATTCCATTCAAAACCCCACGTAAGTTTGTCATTGCTCAGGTTAAAATAATTTTCAAGAATTCTATTTCAATCATTTCCAGATGGAACGCACGTTATGGAAAAACAATCGGGGAAAATAATCAATTTCTCCATACGATCATTAGATCTAATGATCAAGCAGAAACTGCTATTTTCATTTCCCCTACTGTGCTAGGAATATTGAGGGAGCAGCCAAGCAGAACTGCTAATCTACAATTAGATGCAACCTTTAAAGTTGTTCCTCGTGCAGGAGGAGCTATGCAATTGTTGATAATTCACCTATATTTGCATAATACAGTTGAGTCACCAGCCATATTGTTCTACGTCTTCAAACATCACTTGACTTCCTATTATTTTCCTCAGGTATTCCCACTCATGTACTGCCTCATGCAGAGGAAGTCACGAGTGGCGTATGAAACACTATTAGAATATTTTAAAGACATCCTTCTTCCTAATTTCCAACCATCATCCATAATGGCGGATTATGAAGCTGCTCTGAGGGCAGCCATTCGAAATATCTGGCCGGAAACCGCATTAATAGGATGCTGGTTTCATTACTGCCAGGCTGTCTACAAGAAATCCAGGCAACTTGGGTTACAGGTTCGAATGAATGGATATTTGAAAACTCAAAATGTTCACAAGTCGTCGAAATCTCACTGTATTCATCAGTTAATTACGCTTGCAGAATATCTTCGAATTTCTGTGCTTGATATACAGGGTGTCTCAAGTTTAAGTCGTCTAACTTCTAAAATCTATAGCAAAAATCAAAATAGTGTTATTCTTTTTTGGCCCTTCGATATGGAACTCATCAGATATTTTTATTGGGACGCCAGTATAGTTGATTGAATAACCTAATGAAAAATCATTATTATTTCTTCATATTTGTTTCAATATCTTTCGTGTCTGTGAACCATCTAATATTCAATTCGAATGACAATTCGATGTAAGGTAAACGTTCAGGTAGAAGAACTGTTATGCATAGTATAACATTATTTCAAATAACAAGGAAACGTAGAAGGATATCAAAACAAATGAAACGCAGATAGCAAGGTGAATGAATGGGGGTCATTTTTCATCTGCTATAATTCACTATTAGCGTCCCTATGGAAAGAATCTGTAGGGTTCCATATCAGTTGATATACACCCAGTGTAGCTCAGTTTCCTCTATTGATATGGACTGTTCCCATAGCAGATAAAAAAGTGCTCACAAAATTTCAAATTGCTAGGTTTCGTTTCAATAGAGATAAAAAATTGAAACACATAATTTATGCGAACTTCAACACCCCGTGTAATGAAATCAAGTATCTCCACGACAAAACAAAAAAAATAAGTGAATAATATTTTAATTTTTGCTTTCGATTTTCAAAGTTGGACGACCTAACCTGAGACACCCTGAAGAACAAAAAAGAAATACACACAACCATCAAATGTTGTAGGGAAGAAATAACGATGATCGGCAAAAAAAATAGTGAAGATGGCTATGGTTCTCCCCCTTCTACCGGAAAATCAAGTGGAAGCTGGGATGAACATTCTAGTGGAAGAGCAAGTTCCAGGAACTAGAGAGTTCCTTCAGTACTTGAGGGAGTACTGGTTAGGTAGGAACATTTCGGTATATCGCCTGCCACAGCGCACGAACAATGCTGTGGAATCATTTCACCGAAATTTATTCAGATTAGTGGGAAGACCTCATCCCAACATTTGGGTTTTCATAGAAATGATTCAGATAATGGAGCACTCGAAAAGTTGCGACCTAAGGAGGTTAGAGAGCGGAATTGTGCTCCCCAGACAGAGGCGTCCTACTTACCTTCAGATCGAAAGATCTATAAGCAGGGCGCAAACTGTTTTGGAGACGGAAAATAATATAAGTCTATTCTTGAGAAGGATGTCTCATTTGGTAGGAAGACTAACAAGAATTTTCCAACCAGCTCAAGGTCAGTTATCGTGAAAATCGTAATTATTACAAATACATTATTGAAAATCAATATAGGACATCACATAAAGCTATTGAAATTATTCGAACAGTGATCTCACTGCAACTGATTCACACCGTTTCTTCCCAAATATTCGTCAACTAAAATATGTTTGGTGAATGAGATATATTTTTCCTTGGTTTGCGCGATACAATCAACTTTCTCTTCTCGATCGAATAGTTGCTTGATGAAAAGGCTGCTATCGTAGCCACTCATATTATGAAAAAATATGGGGATGAAATTTGGAATTTTAAAGTTCAAATTACATATTGAATGTGCGGCACCGAATATTTTTTCCCCGTTTGATGACAGTGGTCTCTTACTTTGACGTCACCATATATGAAAGCTTTATCGCAAATGCCACACTCCGTGGCATCAGCGAATTCAACTTCTTCTGCCGGAGTTAATTTTTTCATAGGAACTACACGTTTTAGAAACGAGTTGTAAATTATTTTGCAGTCATTGACAAAATTGGATAAGAATTTTTTCGCAGCATCTTCCCCACGGAATGTAACAAATTTCGTAATAGAATTATCGAAAGAGCATTTGATTAGGTATGCAAATGAATGAGGTTCAGGTGCGAATGTTCTATTAGTGAAGGATTTCTCCGGATCTGGCTGACTAGTATGTATCGGCTCCAGAACTGATTCGAAATCTGCATAAATAACGAATGGTACTTTCATCTGTTTCTCAAATTTCTCGAATTTCAAAATGTTTTCAGGTACTGAATTTCCAAATTTATCGACTTTGACCTCTGTGGATGGAGTTGTAGTATATGTATGGTTACAATCATTTAGCTGATGGCGTAACAACTTTGTTTCATCTGAGAAATGTATCAAACAGCCGTCACAAAAAATTTCTTATGCCCCCTGGCAGATACCTGGCTAGATACCAGCCTAGATAAATTCTTTATCCAGCAATAGGCTATTTCCGGATTCATCATCTGTGGTCAGATGTAAATTCACATGTTTACTCATTCTCTCCTTAGAGTTATACAGTGGGCCGACTATCTGATATTGCACTTGATGTTTTTCAAACACACTTTCTAACTCGTAAACGTTGATGGAACAATCATTGAGAATTTAGAATTTTGGGATGCTACTCACTTTAACAGGGAACTCTATACCCACCAAATTCAGAACCGTAGAATAGTGCGGATATGAAGAGGATTCGCGAACATTAGCCCTTGCCGGATACAGTGCAGACGTCACAGCCCAAGCAAAACAGCACTCATCCTGGTTCACCATGTTCACTACTGCCTTTTTATTCTCTATGAAGCTAGGCAGCTTCATGTAGGAACACCCACGCAGCGGACTGTATTTGTTGATGTTGAACCTATAACAATAATACCATCAGATGATCGATAATCAGAAGTGTTGAAGAATATATCAACTCACCAGAATCGCGTTCCTCGAATCCAGTCGTTTGATTCAATATTATGGTCGCTTTATTTTCAATGAAAAACGTATGGTTATCCAATACATCACTTCTGCATTCTAATCTATAACTTACAATACGGCATTTGAACACATTTTCAATCACATATACTCCATCTCTATAATTGACGCAAGCGTTTGTTCGATGCTCCAATGTCCTTTTATGAGAGCTCATTTCAGCTGGAATCATTTTATTGCAAATGGTACATGCCTGCAGATTCCCAGAAGTTGTTGCTTGCTGAGTGCCATTTATCAGTCGAGGCTTCTTGCGATAGGAGGGCTCAAATTTCCCACACATGCAACTCTTTCATGGCGTCGTATATTGTCACTACGCGTGAAAGACTCAGCGCACACACTGCAGAATAACATATTGTTCAGATAATGTATCACTCACAAGAACTAATGAGGTTAATGTTGATGGTAGTATTGAGAGAGAACTATGCGCTCACGGACGCAGCTATTGGGTTTATATAAGGGGGAGCCATGACGTAACACACATCGCCCCACTTCTCCCAATACGACCTCGACCGTCATTTTCCTTCAGGGTCGAGATCTCTCTCTCTCTACAACTCAAGGACACTCACACTCAAGGTCACACACCGTCGCATACGGTGCAACCTTCCTTCACGGTCAAGGCCTTTCTCTCTCTACAACTCGAGGTTACTTACTCCCAAGGTCGCACATGCGGAGGTTACTCTACCCAAGATCACTTCCGCCCAAGGTCACTCCTACTCAAGGTCACTACCTTCTAAGGCAACTCCTACTCAAAGTCACTTCCGTCCAAGGCCACTTCTGCATCAAGGTCACTCTGACACGAGGTCACCCCGCCCAAGGTCACTTCCTTCCAAGACAACTCCTGTCCCAAGGCCACTCCCGCCGAAGGTCACTCCGCCCAAGGTCGGAGGACAATGACCTCGGGCGGAGAGTCAGAAACGGCTAATCTTATCTACTTCTGACACACATCTGAAGTTCTCTTCCAGGATGAATCCGAGGGGTAAACCGCTGAGGAAGTATGGTGTACATCATGAGGAAGTACAAGGGAAGTACGGGAAGTATGAGGAATTATTAGGAAGTACGAGGAAGTATGAGGAAGTACGAGGAAGTACGAGGAAGTACGAGGAAGTACGAGGAAGTACGAGGAAGTACAAGGAAGTACGGGAAGTACGAGGAAGTTTATAGTGCTTGAAATGCTCACGGTGGTGTTCCTATTGCGAGTCCTGCGCGTTAGTGACGATAGCGGGTCGCGAGGCAATATTTGGAGCATCCCTTTATTTATTTTTATTTTATTAGTTGGTTGAGTAACGTCTTGCGAGCTTCAACTGCAGCGTATTTGTCTTGGTATTTATTTGTGAACGATCAAGCTAGTTCAAGTTGAGTTCTGTCACAAGGATTGGGAATCAGGAAAGGTATGTTTTATACAATAATTCCAAGTCAGTTTGTGCTCAATTGCTTTTATACATTCAGTATCACTAGATTGCTGAGTGAGTTGATTATTCAATATCGAATCAAACATGAGATATGAGGTGAAACATTACGTATTTTTGGTGTATTGTTTTGATTCTTGCAACGGTATTGGAAGTTACAAATTTGTTTGATATCAACTTGCAGTTGTCCTTTGTTCATAGCAGTTGAATTTCTGATGCGGATTGAGCTAAAGCAGAGAAAATATCAGGGGCGTAGGGGCAATTATTTCAGTACAAAATACAAATTACAACAACTTCACAGTATAATGTAATTATGGTACTGAATAGTGAATATATGTAGCTGAAGTTAGTTTATTATTCACTTGTTGAGTTACGGTCTTCTCTCAAATTAAATTTCACTCAATGTCATATTCCATCTGATATAATTTCCTCGATTCAAATCAATTACAACTGACTGTACCCAAGTACACGAAAATCTATCTACTCCATTGTTTCATGTATATCTCGATGTATGAATATATATAAGTCTCCGCTGGTATACAAGGTATTTATTACACGGTATTACATATTTATTTCAGATGAAGAATGTCTGTATTAATGCGAATAAATATACCTACAAAAAGTCAGTAGTATTGATGTAAGAGTTTTTGAGACATCATAGAAAATTTGATCGTCTCATGAACTCCACACCATGCAGGTATTTTGAATAATACGGAGCCGATCAAGAAAACTTGAAAGAGAGTTACAAATGTATTCACAAGGAATTTACTCTTGATTTTTTGATAATATCGATTTATTGACTGAAAGTAGATTTTGTAGATTTTCGAAAAGTTTTTATTTTTGTTACTTTCTCCATAGACAATTTCTTTGAAGGAGTTTGACCAGTGACGTAGTGAATTTCTACACGAGCACAACGTTTGAAAGTGTATTTGAAGAAGTTGCAAATTAGTTTCCACTTCTACTCTGAAAAAAATTATTAAAAGGTGCATGGGTAGGTGTTTTTGCAGATTTGAATAATAATCTAAATTATATTCGAATGGTATTGAATCAAGTTAGTTTTCTATTTTCCCACTTGAATAATCTAATGATACCTAATGAAACACAGGCAATATTTTTCACGGTTCTTGTATCAATTAATGGGTACTTGAGATACATGCCGATGAAAATAGCTATAGCTGCACTGATTTTTTCAGATGGCAGATACCAGCCAGACTGGAAATTTCTTCAAAGGAGCTGAAGCCGCCTTGAATTTGATAATACCAGAGATAGTCAAGAATATTATGATTATCAATGGTTATGATAATGAAGGCATCATTGCCAATATTGATGAATCTCGTTTGGAGGAGATGGAGACTTTTGCAAGAAACGAACTGCACGAAATTTTAAAACCCGAAGATCTGCCTAAATACTATGGACTTCACTCTGAAAAACCAACACTTTTTAAATTTATAAGTGGCCATAAACAGACTATACTCATGCTGGCTAATTACTCGCGGGAGAACTTTACTAGAAGAAGAATGAGCACCTCTAAAAATAAATCTAAATCCAATAATAATTCCGAGTCAGACAGTTGTTCCAGTAATTCTCAGACTTCTGAAATTTTGAAAAACATCAAACATGCTCCAAAATTAACAGAAGAGAATGCACTAATATGGACCACGTTGAAAAAATGGGCCAAAGAACGAACGAGCAGTGATTTATGGAGAGCTGTATCAGATCGTTTTGATGATTTGGTTGTATCGAGTTCTTTTAACAAAGACGGTGATCTAACTTGCAATATTGAATGCTTTTGCGGTGTTAAAACAAAAATTCAGAAGTTGTCCAAAACACAAACAACTCCTAAACGTTGGATATATGCTAACTTTCATAAACACATATTGCAAAGGCACATTGGATCAAACGCGCCACCTCCTAAAACAGTAAAAAATAAACTTATAACGTCTTTTTTGTTACCTAATGATGCCCGAGATCATACCCTTGCAGATGCCTCACAAGATGAAGCAAGAACTCAAACAAGAATAAATATAATCCAATATATTGCCATTCCTTCTACCTCGTGGTCTACCTCATCCATTGGCATCACGAATAAGGACGCCGTCTCGGACGAAATTATTCTTCGAGAAAATGATCGAATAGATCGCGAATCCGAGATACTTTCCGAAAAATTGGTTTCTGACGACAAACCAAGTGCAAATTTGAAGAATGCGCTACCTTCTATTAGTACTTTGAACAGATATCTTCAAAACAAACGTATTCCAATAGAAGAAGGAGTCATGAATTTTGCTGGTTTGCTCAAGTTTTTGGAAGACAATGGGCTACCAAAAATCGTATGGATATCTGAAGATGGCACAAGGATAACTGGAAAAATCCAATATGATGCTAGGACGAATAAAATAGTTGGATTTGTTTTACCACTGAAAAATGGAATGCCACAAACCGATACGTACATCGCGACATCGGCGACTACCATTCAAAATTACTTCGAAACGGGCATTAAAGCTACATATGCCTATGTGGTAATGGCTCAACCAGTAGTGAGTAATTCACCGTCATTCTGCTTGTCGATGTTTGGCACTGACAATAAATTCACAGCTCAAGAGGTCGTCGACAGATGGGAGTATATGAAGAGAGTTGCTGAGGAATATGGGATCACAATTGCTGGATTCTCATCTGATGGCGATACTCGGTTACTGAAAGCTATGCGGATCAATTCCAGCCTTCCGTTAGAAAATGGGGAAATGTTTGAATGGGAATGGTTTCGAATGAATCCAGATAGAACTGATGAAGTTTATTTACAGGATACAGTCCATATATTAACAAAGATGCGTACACGATTCTTAAAGCCAGGAATAGTCTTACCCATGGGAGATCATAGTGTAACTGTCGAACATCTCAATCAATTGATAACTACCATGACCAAAGATAAACACTTGATCACACATTCAGATCTTAAAGCTGAAGACAAGATGAATTTTTTATCGGCGCAGAAGATATGTTCCATTCTTGTTATAAATAATTTGAAAACAATTCCAAATAGCGTTGGTACTATGGCATATTTGAGAATCATGAATTTCGTCTTGACTTCATTTTTAGATACATCTCTGAATCTCTCCACACGATTGTATCAAATATGGTACTCAGTTTTTTTTCTACGTATATGGAGATATTGGATTAAAAAAAATTGTGCATACACTATAAAAGACAATTTTCTAACAAATAATTGCTACTTATGCATCGAACTCAACGCTCATAATTTTGTAAAATTGATAAATAAGTTCAAACATAATTCCGATAAATTGAGTGCCGAAATGTTTTGTCTGAACAATTTTAGTAGTCAAACATGTGAAAAGTTATTTCGAGCAGCCAGGTCAATCACTTCAACCTATTCTACAGTTATTAATTTCAGTGTTAAAGATTTCATGCACCGCATTGATAGAATACAAACCATAAATTCTATAAAAAGTGATTTGAAAAGTATTTTCTCATTTCCAAGAGATGAGAAATTAGGATTAGAAAATACAATTCAAATCAGCAGCCACCAAATTCAAGAAATTAATATTGAAGGAACAATAAATGAAGCATTAACAGATGCGTTGGAAGACACCAAAAAAATAGGAATGAGGCTAGAATGCGATGAATGGAAATATGTTGATATTCCTCCCACTTGTTTTCAATCTTCTGAACATATAGATGATCAGGACAAACATGAGATAGAAATCGATGATAAGGAAATTGAAGATGTTGGAGTTACACCTCTAGAAGATTTTTTTTCTGATTTTCCTCATGTCGAGAAAGAAAAAATTGAAAAGTTACAACTGAAAGATTATTCAGAGCGAGTTATTCAAATATCCGAAGACTGTCCTTTCGTGGAGGTGCAACAACAAAATGGGAAAATTATTACCATCAAAAAATCATCTCTGTGTTGGTTTTTAGACGAAAATAATGGAAAGGTTAGTACCGACAGATTGAGAAGATTCATAACTGGAAAGAGAGGAGTAGCAGCTAAGAGAAAGAATGAAACTCATAAGCTCAAGGGAAAGAAAATGAGAAAGGTCGAGAAAAAAGATGCATTTTCAAGTTGTTCATCTTCAGAAGATGTTGATTTCAGCCTAGATGATTCAACAGACACAGAAGAGTTTAATTCTTCAGGCTCCGAATCGTCGAAGGAAAACCGCGAATTGCGACCAGAGATATTAATTGAAAAATATTATGCTGTGTTTTACGAGCAGAAATATTATATCGGCCGAATAATTCAAGAAACTGCTTCAGATAAATATGAAATAAAATTTTTGAAGTCCGAACTAAACCAGTTCGTTTGGCCACGCTTCGATGATAAAGATAATGTACAAAAAAGATATATATTTCATGGGCCTATAGAATTGGTTGGTAGTGGACCATTTCAGTTGAAACGGGCCGATTCATTGAATATCTCCAGGAAATATAAATTAATGAAAAGCGCTCGGATAAGCGGGATGAAAAGAGTAAATGAAAAATAATTGAAGTTTCTAAAATCATCCAGAAGAAATTGTTGCTCATGCAAATTCAAAATTGACGTTTCTGAGCTTATTTTAATCATGTTATCTAGGACACTGAAGGTTTCATGCTATTGGTCTTTGAATTTCATTTTACACAGATTTTAAAGCTAACAGAATATTGTTTGTTTTTTTTTGCGATATATATAAGTACCTATAATTTACATGTTTTTTTAGTACTCGATCTCTTTCTTGGCTTGTCACAGATTAAAAATGCAGGTATGTTCTTACGAATGAAGAAGTATTATTGTAGTTCTAACAGATTTTTTCTGATTGAATGTACTCATTTTAAATTCCACGGAGTTTCTCATAATTAGAATATTGTTTTATTTCCCTGTGATATACCTATGTGAATTTGTATATCAAACTGAGAGTAGTGTTGTATTTCCTGTGATATACCTATTCAAGTTTTTCATTTTTTTATTGTAGTTCTAGTTACGTGGAAGATAATGTTGCTTGAAAAAGTGTTTTATTTTTTGTGAGATTTTTTTTGTAGTTCTTAACAGATTTTCTCTGATTGAGACTGTTTTATCCATTCTTCTAGTTCTTTATACTTATTTTATTCTCATGGAGTTTCTCAAAATTAGAATATTGTTTTATTTTCCTGTGATACCTAGATATGTAACTCTTTTATTTATTTTATTGTACTTAGTACAGATATTACGTGAAAGATAAATGTTGTCAGAAGAAGTGTTTTATTTTTTGTGACATATGTTTAAATAAGTACTCATCAAAGACTAATCAAACATGGGAACGATCAATATGAATTGCTGATAATACAGGGTGACATTGGGATACATACGATTATTTCCAACCCTTAGAAAGATGACATAATTAGATTGTATTATCGAATGCCAGCAATGCAAAAAATTATTGAGATCATAATAAAATTTCAAGTGAGACCCCTTTTCCACCCAAAGTTCTTCACTGTAGCAATTCTGAGGTCACCTCTGTTCGAATTTTCTTGTGGAAGGCACAATCACGCGAAGTTCAAGCATTTAAATGATTTAAATGGCGTACTTAGGAACTCTGGAATTGTATTAGGAATTATGAGGAAGTATATATAGGAAGTACCTATCAAGGAAGTACGGGAAGTATCAAGGAAGTACGGGAAGTATCGAGGAAGTACAGGAAGTATCGAGGAAGTACGGGAAGTATCGAGGAAGTACGGGAAGTATCAAGGAAGTACGGGAAGTATCAAGGAAGTAGAGGAAGTATACGATTTTAAGGAAGTAGTGTACACCATTTAGGTCAGCGGTTTACCCCTCGGATGAATCTATTGGCATGAATCCACATTCCCCATGATATTTGATTGCTTTGGGAGATGAATTAGATGAAAGTTGCACTGCTGGTCCAACTCTCTGTCGTTGTGCTCCTTTGACATCTAAGTGAGAACGTGTCAATCAGTGTTAATTCACAAATTGAACAAGTGAGTAACTTCTCAAAGCATGTTTTGTCAACAGTATCTCCTTCAATATGGATTCCGTCATCAATAATGTGGTTTCGTGATAGTTTCATCAAATGTGGAACATCTGCGAAAACATAGACGTTCACGTCAATATCAGCAGGATGATTGAAATAACAATTTTTATCATGTAAGATTCCACGCTTGGACCATAGTTTCATATTCCCAGAACCCATATCACTGATTATGGCAACTACAATAAGTCCTGTATTGTACAATTCAGTAATTATGGACTTCACAATGTCAGGAGTCATTGGTTGGTCAAATTTATAATAAACAGGTTACTTCCAATGTTTGAGCAATCCTCGTATCATAACTGTTTGGAAAGATTTGTGAGGACCTATTTTTTCTTGCTTTTTCTTCTCAAAGTCTATTCGATTGGAAACATAAATCTCATCGAATGATAAAACACATAGCCTGTCAAGTATACTCATACTGGCAACTTCACCCATCAGTAACTTGCGAACACTGAATAAAATACCTTGATCCAGATTGAAAGTAGAGGCCCAAGTCCTGAGTGTTGACAGAGCTGGAAGAGGATGCTGATTAGCTCTCATATATCTATATGCCTTGGGGCTAACACTTCGTAAAGATATTGCAGAGGCATTATCTTCAGGTGACCAGCGAATTCGTTTCAATTCAGGATTTAATAATTTTTTAAATTGACTTTCTGTGAAAATGATCCCCAAACTATTTTTCAATCTTTCTTCCAGGTTATTTTGTTCTTCAACTTTTTTTACAAGCTTTCCATTTTCACTCTCTAATTCTGAAATTCTCAATTGCATTTCATTTTTCTTTTCATTCGCTTTTGATAATTCAGTTCTCAGCTTCAAAATTGTCTGTTGTGAACTATGTTTTTCAGGTTCTTCGTTACTGAAAATATACAATATGTCAATGGTAGAATAGTGATTTTATAAATGGCAATAAACTTACATATCATCACAATCCATTTGTACTCCAGTTTCATCAGTATTTTCAACTACTGATCCTGGAACAATATGTATGTTTTCTGAGGTGCTTGAACTGGCAATCATTTTATCCACTTCTTCTTGTTGTTGTTTTTTTGCCATACGTTTGGATCTTGATGAAGGTTCTCCATGAAGATTCGATTTAGAGGATGATTTGGTTGGTATGTGTAAAGTTGGTACTGCATAATTTTTGAGAACTCTTGAATTTGTTGTACTATAATTCAGTAATCTCTGTCTCATAGGAATCTCAAAACAATCCGGTTCGGAGCCAATGGAGCAAATTCTTGCTGAAAATAATCAATAATCACATTATACTATCAAGTAGATACAATGTGATAAAATGAAGTAGGTAATCAAGTTCTGCAGCAAGTCTGGTGAATGGGGCAATAATATATCCTAACACTCTCCATAACATAAAAATATAATTTTGTAACCAAAAATTTCGAAGTCAGAATTTATTCGGAAGTTCTCCAAATACACGATCCAAATATACTTATCATGTTCTACAGCAAGTTTGGTGAGAGAAGCAATGAAATTTACTCTCTCAATAGCTATAAAATTCAATTTTGTAACCAAATATTTCGAGGTTTGAATCAATTTGAAACATTACGTCTATTCATCAGTTGATATTAGTGATACTGAATCATTACTTACCATTTTTTAAATTGATTTTATCTTTTCTATGGCATGCTTTAACCCACTGTTTTCTGAAATCTTTTTCAGCTGGAAATCGGAAGTATCTTATGTTAGTGTCTTTTGTCACTCGCGAATAGTTCTTACAGGTAGAAATTGCACATTTAGGCATGTTTATTGATTGAATCACTCATCAAATCACTTGAAAACAATTGGAAGATGATATTTCACACGTTAGCAGAAAACCACAGAATACCCAAACTAAACAGAAGCGACACAATAGCATTTTCGCGTATGCGTGAGCCGTCATTTAATAAATGTGAAATTTGTCATTGTCAATCTATGTTTGTTTATGTTAAAAATTCGGTCACGTTTTGTTCTGTTGATTTATTCAATCACTATTCTGATTCTCTCACTTTTTATACAAATTTGTGTATATTTTTGTTCAATGGCTTCTAAAGGAAGTGCGGTGTGTGCCTATCGTGCATGCTCTTCAAGATCTAGTCAAGGAATAAGTCTATTTTTCTTTCCAAGAGATCCAGTGAGGTATGTGTTGGAATTACTTTAGTTCTCTGATGGAACTTCTGGATCATAATTTGAAGCTGAGGGATATTTTGTTTCCAAAAGTTTCTCATGTTTTTCATTTCAGTTAATTTGCTTACAATTATTTTCAGAATTTTTTGGGGGGAATTTCTTCTGGTACAATTATATTTTTTTCATCTGAACACTTATAACTTCTATCTTTCAGATCTGAAAAGTGGATAGTTTACATAAGAACTAAGTATTGACTGTGTGAAAAACATTTTGAAGAAAAATATATACCCAAAGGGGAGACTCGGAAAACTTTATTTCAGCAAGCTCTACCAACAGTTTTCCCTCATATAACAAAGAGACCTTTCACCATGAATGATGTATTTGCCAGAGGATCTGCAGAACCAAACAAAAAAGTGATGGTTATATCAGGTATATTACCTACATATTTTCTGTATGTACATTTCAAAGTATTAACATTCATCAAATGAAACATACATTTTCTACAAATTCATATTCTTATACTGTGTCCGAGATATTTGAATAAGAGCAAAATATCAGATGATCAAACATTTCCATGAGAGAACTCGATTATTACCTCATTCATTCTATTTTTCTTTTATGAAGGACATCATAATTATGATTTGATTTTAATTTCAGATATATCTATTGTTCCTTCTCTGGAAGAACAATACCAAAAAGAAAATAAAGCTCCAACTTCGACTTAGTGTTATTCTATCACTCCAGGTATTTATATATTTTAATCATTACAGAAGTGATTAATCTAATTCAAATAACATAATTTATATTAATTGAAGGACTAAGTGGTATCCAACAATTTGAAGAAGAAGAGGAGCATATCTTGACTAAAAAGGTACCAGTTCCAGCTCTACTGTCTCCTTCAACTTCCACTCAGACAACAGGTAACTTGAGCTATGGAACTCCTCGAAGGAAGCAATTGAAAGAGAAAATCAAGGCTCTAAGAAAAGCATGTAAGGATTCAGCTCCAAAGCAATCAGAGTTAGGCCTCGAGGATTTAAAAAATTCATGTGATGAGCAAACCACTGGCAGAGATAGTCAAATGTCAAGCAGCACTGAGAGGAAAAAAACCTGTAGGTAGAAGGTATTCAGTAGAGTACAAATAGTTTGCATTGACACTGTATTTTTTGGGTCCTCGTGCTTACAACTTCATGAGTAAACTATTGTGTATTCCAACCAAGAGAAGCTTACAAAGAATCACAGAAAAACTCGCTTGTAAACCTGGATTAGATAATGAAGCAATTTTTACATCTCTTCAAATCAAGATGAAAACAATGTTGCCTCGAGACAGGCACTGTATACATTGTGCATTGATGAAATGCCCCTGAAATCCAACTTATTTTATCACATTGGACGTGATGAGATTGTTGGATTGAGCAATACTGGGAATGAAATTGCTCAGAATGCTTTGGCTATTATGGCAAGAGGTTTATACTCAAACTGGAAACAACCAATTGCTTATATTTTCACTGGTTCACAGTTTGGAGCAAAAAAATTACTTCCACTCATTGAACAATGTGTCCACAAATTTACCAGTTGTTGAAAATATAAATCTATGTCCCTGTATGTTCTCGTTCATATCTATTTAGAATGCTATGAAGTATATTGATATGTTTCTTTGTCAATAAAATGTAACAGTTGTCACGAATTGTCAGAAATATAGTTTATTCTGAACTTGCGTTTATCTCTCGAAAAGCTCTGTTTCCATCAGGTTATGGGCCCAGTACCTAGCAGTACTTGAAATAGTTTTCAGGAAGTTCAAAAAGGTGCATCGGATCAACCTTGAAATGAGTGGATCACACAATGCACTTCCTCTGATCGAGAGACTCAAAGGGCGCGAGAATCAAGGCTCGTGGAAGTTCGCCATGCAAGCGTTTCTTCAACTTGACGACTTTTGGGACGTTGTGAATGGAAAGATGCCAGAAGAAGAACCTGCCAAGAAAGCATTCGAAGCAAAAGACAGGAAAGCATTGTCCAAGATAATTCTGGCTGTGGATCCATCAATTTATTCACATATCAAGCAGGCTTCAACTTCATCGGAAGCATGGTATTCTTAGGAGAGAGCTTTCGAAGATTCGGGACTCACCAGAAAGGTAGGACTGTTGAGAACTCTTGTTACCACAAATCTGTCGATGAGTATGTAGACAAAATAATGACAACTGCTCAGAGGTTGACCGAGATCGGTTTTGAAGGGGAAGATGAGTGGGTTGGAACATTGCTATCAGCTGGTCTTCCTGATGAATATCGCCCAATGATAATGGGCTTAGAAAGTTCAGGCATATCTATAACAGGAGATTCCATCAAAGTTAAACTTCTACAAGATGTAAGGCTACAGGAAAATACGATGCCAGCAAATAGTGAGACAGCCCTTTATTCAAAAAATCTCAATGCAAAGAAGAAATTTAGTGGTCCACCAAGATGTTTCATCTGCAATAAAGTAGGACATCTGTCTCGAAAATGTCAGAATAATATGTCAAAGAAAACTGATGACAAGAAACCTGATTTTAAAAGTGAAAAAGCATTTGTAGCATATCTTTCAACCGATAACAAAAATGTACATGAAAATAAGTGGTTCCTGGATTCATGTGCATCGACACATATCACCAATGATGTTGGATTGTTGAAAGATGCAGTGCCATACGCTGACATAAAAATCACAGCAGTTGATAAAACGGAGTTAAAATCTGAATCAGTTGGAAATGCAGCTATCCACGTTAAAATAAATGCGGAATCGTCCACAGTAGAGGCCAAAGAAGTCCTGTATGTACCTGGTGCAGCCGTGAACTCGCTATCTGTGAGTAAGATAATGAAGAAAGGAAACATTGTCATTTTTGATGACCAAGGAGGAAGAATCCAAGATTCCGATGGAGAAATGATAGCAACTGCAACTGAGGTAAATGGGATATATAGTTTGGATCTATCATCAAAAACCGGTGGACCATCTCAGGATGTTAGTTATTTGAGCCGAGAAAAGAATATTTTTCTTTGGCATCGTCGTCTTGGAAACCTGAACAGGAGAGGTATCCAGCTATTGAAAGGAATGTCAACCGGATTGGATGAAAACATAGACTTGAGTGAGACCTGTGAAATGTGTGTTATGGGTAGTTCAAGCTAGAATGCCCTTCAAACCTAGCAAGAGTAATACAAAAGAGATATTAGAATTATTGCACACACACCTATGTGGATCTATGGAAACAAAAACTATAGGTGGAAGTAGGTACTTCCTCTCATTCATTGATGATTTCTCCAGATACATTTTTGTTCATTTTCTGGAGACGAAGGATCAAGTATCAACTTTCTTTGAAGAATTTAAGGCGCATGTCGAAAACCAGAATGGAAAGAAAATAAAGGCCATTAGTTCCGATAACGGAACTGAAGATCTGAAAGTACTGAACGAATACACCGTCTCTGATCATTTTGCCCTATCAATTACTCTTAATCTTTCCTATGAAAAACACACTGAAAATAAGTTGGACGTCAGACGTCATCCCTATACTCTGAAATGGTCCGACGACTTCACTTATCGATATAAAATCTCAATGCGTAACTCCAGCAATGTGGGATGTTTAGATACCGTGCAGAACGACTATAATAATATATGCTCCACTATTGTAGAAACTGCTAGGGAACTACAAATGATGAAGGAAACTCAGTGGCCCAATCACAAAAAACATAGCAGTCCCTGGTTCGATTCAAAATGTTACAATGCAAAATTGGAAATGAAAAACACACTCAAAACATGTAAAAAACATAATTTTTCAGTGGAAACTAAAGCCATATATTTCCAGTCAAAAAAAAACCACAAACTCATACTGAAAAACAAAAAACAAAACTACTTTAATCAAATCACAAACAAATTATCTATATGCAGAGACTCTAAATCATTTTGGGACACAATAAAAACATTCCGAGGTAATACTTCAACCTCAAATCTGACTGTCAAAACCTGGGAAAGCTTCTATACACAATTTTACCCCCCCCCCCCAGAGTCTTAAATGAGGTATTGTATTTCGATGTAACTCATCCAACTCTCGACAGTCAAGTCACTTCATCTGAAATATATAGCGTGTTAAATCTTTGTGGCAGCAATAAAGCGCCAGGATCAGACGGAATACCCTACGAGTTTTACAAATACTTGCCCAATAACTGGATACTTTTTTTAACTAACCTTTTCAACAGAATATTAGAAACTCATAGTATCCCTGAAAACTGGACTATGGTCATAATGAAAATGCTCCACAAAAAGGGCCCTACCGATGACCCAAATAATTACCGGGGTATTGCACTTCTTAACTGCTGCGAAAAAATGTTCACACATGTATTAAAAACTAGAATATATGAATGGGCTGAGGAGAATGGAGCACTTCCAGAGTCTCAGTCAGGCTTTCGAAGTGCTAGGGGATGCATCGACAACATATTTGTTTTGAGCTCTGCGATAAATCTGCATTTGAGGTTGAGAAAACGTAAAATATTTGTGGCTTTTGTTGACTATAAGAGAGCATTTGATTCAATTTGTCACACCATGCTTTGGCAAAAATTATACAATTTAGGGGTGAGCGGTAGACTTGTATCATTAATAAAAAAACTTTATGAGAACGCTACTATGGAGGTACTAGCTGCAGATGGATCTACTCGTGCCCTAGATATTACAACAGGAGTACTACAAGGTGAAACTCTCAGCCCACTGCTTTTCTCTCTATTTCTCTCAGATATCGAACAGTATTTTTGTAACAGGGGTGCTAAAGGAATCAACATCGATAATGAAAAAGAACTGTTGATGCTGCTCTATGCAGACGATCTCGCCATTCTGGCAGACAGTGAGATCGACCTCCAACGTAAGCTGAACATTCTCGAAGCATATAGTGACCATAACGAGCTGACTGTCAATGTGAATAAAACTAAAATAATGATTTTTTCGAGAGGACCCCTTTGTGCAGAAAATTACAAATTTCTTTATAAAAATTGTCCAGTTGAAATTGTGGAGTCCTTCGTATACCTTGGGGTCACCTTTTCAAGCTCCTCGCTTTTCCTGGAAATGGCACAATGCATTAGAGAAAAAGGTAAACAAGCTATTGGTTCTGTTTGCGCGGTTATGGCTAGGGCAAAATTGAGTACATGGTTGACACGTGTCCATTTATTCGATTCACTGGTTAGCAGCATTGTCACCAACTGCATTCCAGCATGGGGACTACGATACCCAAATATTCTAGAAAGAGTACAACTAACCTTTTTCAAGAGGGTTCTATCGCTCTCAAAAAATACTGCTGATTTTGCTGTGCGGTTGGAATCAGGAAGAGTTGAATTCTCCTACTATATATTCAAACACTCCCTGAACTGGGTCATCAAAATGCTCGAAATGGAGAACTCTCGTCTGCCGAAAATATGTTTCTTGCGCCAGATTGATTTGATGAATAATGAAAATACAAAATACAATTGGGCGAGTCAATTCAAAAAATACCTCGATTTTGCCGAATTTACGGGACAACTCGAAGCAGCATCTTGTTCCACCACACTAAAACGAAATAAAAAAAATCTTACTTGAAACTTATAGGAATGAACTACAAAAAGCAGATCTGAATCTGTTATCTCGGACCTCCTACCTCACTATTTACAAATTTCTGAAAATTAAACTTGGTTTTCAAGATTATCTACAAGCCGGAATCCCTATCCATATTACCCGAGTAATTGC